TACGGCTATATTACGTTGAAACAGCGGTTCACGTAAAATTACCAAAGTTAAGCAATGTCGAGCCTGGTCAGTACCTCGATGGGTGACCACTATGGAATACAAGGTGCTGTAAGTTTAAATAGCGAAGATTACCATTTATGAAAGCTAACAAGTCTCTTGTTATACTGCAAAAACGATAAAATAACTATGCTTTTTCTTTGTTTCATGTCCGTTCAGGACGTAGGCGATCATGGCTATCCACTTCCTCCTATCCCTTGTAGTCCTCAATAAATTTTGTCTTTTTGGTACTTCTCCCAGACTCTGTTCTGTCATCCACTTGCTTAAGCCCGCTAGGTATGTCACGCATTGCTTTCCCTTGTCCTTCTTCCCCTCTATTCGCCCTGTGAGTATCAGATTTTCCAAACTTTCCTTTCTCATTTCGTGTCCCAGAAATTGCAGCTGCCTCTTCCTGATGTTAAGTATGAGTTTCCTCTTTGTTTGCATCCTCTCCAAAACCTCATCGTTGTTCACATGTTCGGTCCCTGTTATCCTTAGCATCGTTCTGTAGAACCATACCTCTGTCGCCTTGATTCTCTTCTTCATCTTTGAGGAAACCATCCAATAGTCTGTCTAGCTTTTGGAATGCGTCTTTGGCCATCCCAATAAGTCTTCGGATCTCAGCGTCGCACTTATCGTCCTCTGAAAACGTCGAGGTTATGGCATGACCCTTGTAAAGTCAATGATTACGGCCATATCACGTTGAAACACTGGTTTCCGTACGATCACCTAAGTTAAGCAACGTATTGAGCACATTTTAAAAATATAATGTTTAGACATTGGAATTGACCTACCTTACACTTACCATGAGACCCTGGTTCGAACCTCACCCTGGTTGATTTATCACTAAGGTCTGCTCAGCATGGTTACAGTATAAACCACAGACCAGGGATTGTCTAGCCGCCTTAGTAGACAGGTGTTCTGAAATGCGACTGGCCAGCTATTATATATATATATATATATATATATATATATATATATATATATATATATATAATGGACTCTCCTGTCGGTTTCGACATATGAGGTTCTGAAAACTTAACCAATTGATTCAGTTACGAATTTTGTGCGATAATCTTAAGACCCGCATTTTTGATTTGCAAAGGAGGCCGCATATAGAGCAAGAGTCAGGATTGTGGTATGAGGTCACAGGTCACTGTTAGATTGGTTGAACTTTTAGATCTTGCTCTCGCTTCTTGAAAACGATTTAGACTAGCAGATTGAAAAGCGCTGAGTTCAGTAAAACAAGTTGATCACCACTCTACCGGGTCCAAAGCTAAGCGCTCAAGGTTGTTATGAGGTATATTGAAAACTGACAAGTTGCTCTTCAGCTTGTCATTGTATCTAAGCCACGAGCGTCCTACATTCCTGTAGCCCTGATCTAACTGGCTGTACATTAGAATCTTGGTTATCCTGTCATCAGACATTCTCAAGACATGACCAGTCCACCGCAGTTGAGACTGTATAAAGAAAGTCTTGATTCCTCCAATATTACACCTGTTAAACAGATCTACATTGAATATCCTATCTTGAAGGCTAACTCCACAGATGGCGCGTAGACAGCTCTTATGGAAAACATCCAGCTGGCGTATATGGTACCTGTATGGAGTCCATGACTCTGATCCGTACAAAAAGATGGCAAGGACAGCAGCTCTGTAAACCTGAATTTTCATATCCAGTTGGATACCCCGCTTATCCTACAAGCGATGGCAAAGTCTGCCGAAAGCACTTGTTTATATATATATATATATATATATATGGAAGAATATCAGAAAAATGTTAGGCAAATGAATGACAAAGTGAAAAACACTGTATTCATTGGACTTCATCGGACTAAAGTAATAATGCTTACGTTGATGGAATTATATATGTGTAGTAAAGCGAGATGCAATATAAAAACGCAAGCAGATGATGTTGGAACGCTGTAATTTTAAACATTTACTTTTATTTTTTTTTTCATCTCAGACGTGCCCGGGGATGTAGTGTAGCCGATTTCATTCAGTTTCCATATATTTTTGTTTTTTGTTTTTATGGCTTTTATTATTAAGTCTTTCACATTGTGATAATAGGGGATTTGCCAAGAAAGATGAAATGTATGAAGCTGGGCGCAAATTTACGGTGGATGATCTAGCGATCAAAGCACTTTCTATACATTTCTGTTTTAGTAAATTCTTTTATCTTTTAATGAAATCACCCTTTTTAAAATCGAAATTATGGTCAAACTCATTACGTGGAAAGTTGCTCACCGTATTAAGTCTCAAATTAATAGATGAACAAATTTATCAATCTGCTCAAAGTGTATATATTTATATGTGTGTGTGTCTGTGTGTTTGTTAAATTAGTATCTTGTGTATATATAATATTGAGACGTTTATGTATCTTAAATAGTAAGAGTTTGGAGGGAGAATGTTTTTGAATAGGTCACTTTCTAGAAACTCTAAAAAAAGACAAGCAAGAACGCTGCTGAGAGGAGATCCCATTGGTAAGCCAAATTTTTGTCTGTAAAGTTGGTCATCAAATGTAAAGAAATATTTATATGTATGGGCAAGCATGCAAGTATATGTAGATTTTTTATCCTACCCATTCTATATATATATATATATATATATATATATATATATATAAAAAAAAAAATATATAAATATATAATAAAATAAAAAAAAAAAATACTAAGGAACCCTGGATTATGCAGCCAACGTGTTCTTTTCTATTTTCTGCATACACGCGCTTATGTATATATATATATATATATATATATATATATATACTCACACACACACACACACATGATGCGATGGTTAAATTGTCGCCACATTTTATTTTTAATTAAACGTATGCGCGTTATTTGTTTTCGATTAGTTGACTTCAGAATATAGTAGGGTGAGTCTGTGAGAAAAAGAGCATCATGACGCGGTACCCTCCGCCACAAATTTGAAAACCCCATGTTGTACTGCTTGGAAACTCCATTATGAAGGATAATGCAGAGGATTCAGTAAAAGTTGAATATGACTAATGGTCATTACGAAGGTACGGCAGCTCGGAAAACTCACTCTGATCATTGTGATAAGAAAAGAACTCCTGAATTTGTTATTGAGGGACCCAGACTCAACACGGAGGCCTACACCAAGTACCTTGAGGAAGTAGTGCTGATTTGGGTCAAGAGGGGCGCTGTTGGAAGACCCTATCTCTTGGTGAGTAGCTGGCATATTTTTATGATTTCATGTATAGGTAAAGGTAATTTAAATTTTGCTTTTGTTAGTAGATTTTTTAGTAGATTTAAGCATTTCTCTATAAGGATATTTGTGTATAGAGATTTTATATCTAAACTAGCCATATATTTGTTTTTTAATGTCTATGTTTTTTTAATTTGTTTAGAAGGTCACCTGAATTTTTTTTATGTGTGATGGACTAATAGTACCAATGAGTGGGTTAAAATTCTGCTTAGTTTGCGGGCGAGTTTATGTGGGGCGCTGCTTATCTCTGATATGAAAGGTCTCATTGGTATGTTCTGTTTATGTGTTTTTGGTAATCCGTATAATGTGGGTGTTTTTGGATGGTATCCAATAACTTTTATCCAGGATAAATCTTCATTTTTTAGTAGCTTTTTGACGTCGATTATGAATTTTTGTGTTTCTTTTATAGCTTTGTTTTCATTTATTTTTTCATAGATGTTATGAAAACAGATACATAATACTACCGACAACTCCGTCACGTCCACTACCCAGAACAACCTATTCCATCTAAATAATCTTAAAATAATAACAAACACTTCCAAAACCATTATGGATATAATCAGACCCTCAAACACTAATAGCAATAATATTTCTGAAGCAAGCATTTATAAAATAAATTGCCAAAATTATTCCTCTCAATATATTGGAGAAACAAACAGAAATTTAAAAAAAACGCATCTATGAGCACAAAAGAGACCTCACAAAAATAACTAATGCACTAGTCATATATAGAAATAAATTCAACCACAATTTTGATTTTAAAAATATTACATTCATAAAAAAGAAAATAACTTGCTCAGAAGGAAAATCCTCGTGAGTGCCGCCATTGAATATTATCTAAATATTAATCTACGCCCAGGTTTTTCCAATATCACATTTCCTAAGAGAATTACTACTTTCCCAAGCAAACGTTAACAACTGTATCAAGAAATCAAAAATTAAAATTAAAATTAAATTAATTATGTTAATATAAAATTATATTAATATAAAAAAATTAATTAATTAATTGCATTAAAATTAACGTGCCATTTCTTGGCACAGTTGACAACAGATTGAAGATCATTTTCTAGGATCAGCTACCAATTTAAATTTTATCGAAACTCACACTTTAAAGGCATGAATACAATTTCCTCCAACTATGGTGATATGCAGATTTGGGTTTTCTGTCTAAAGTAGCATTCAGTGTGGAAGGAAAACTCTGAATTCCAACCATATATTTCTAGCGGGAGTATTGGTTAAATGCATGTATTGTCCTTAGAGATGTGCACAAAGCGTAACGGCTATCCGTGGCAGAAAGTGGAGTCGTCGAGCCGAGTTCAAATTCTTGTCTAATCTGCTGCATTCACTTCCGCACTATTGCCCTCGGGAAAGGCAAAAATCCATCTCTTCTTCTAGCTATTAGTCAAATAGTAGAGCAGACTCGGCTTACTTATCTTGGTTTTCAGGTAGTCTACAGGGTTTTTTTTCTGAAAGTTAAACTGCGAGGAAAGCAAAAAGAAATAATTCCGCTATTTTTTCAAAAAGTCATGCCAATTCGCATATACTAAGGAAGCTGTAGAGGGAGTCAAAGGACACAGTATTTAAAATAAAATTGTCAATAGGTTATGACATTATACCAGAGAAATTAAACTCGGTGACAATGCGGCATATTGCTGGCGGTTCGGAGATTTCTTAGTTGCGTCGGAATTTCAAGAGTTGAGGAGTTATTATCCTATTTTTATTGTGATTGCTTCTCTCTCCCTGTAAATATTGCATAAATGATGAGCTATTCCATTTGGATCGCGTGGAAAGAGGAGAGAAACATACCACTTGATAAATAAGAGAAAGAAAATTAGAAATGCTTAATGTCTCCTGCCAATACCTCATAAATAATGAACTGTTCCATTTTGATCGCGCGGTAAGAGGGGGAAAAGACACTACTTGATAAATAAATGAATGAAAGAAAGAAAGAAAGAAAGAAGTATTTAACGTCTGTCCACTTCTTAAAATAATCGTCAGCTTTCATATTTATGTTGGTTATTGGAATATTTTATTAAAGTTGTTAAGCTCAAAACATTTAACGATGCGATGGGATAATTTCTACGAATATTTTATTGTCGTAAAACTTGACATGAAATTACACAACTTAAGAATTTAGATTCATCAGAATATTAAATTAGGAAAACCATGAAATTTTTAAGGGCCGTTCTAGTTTATATTATTCGCAGTAGGACGAAAGTTTTCATTTATGTTTCTATTATACCAAAGTCTCGGCCGTTGTCAGACATCTGAAGAAGGCCCGAAAACACTCAAATGGTCGAAGCGTTTTTATCAGTACTCCGCTTAACCAAGCTTTTACCACTATAATCAAATTATATATGCGGCGGTAGGCCAATCATTTAAAAACTGAACTATTGAGTCCTCAAACGCTGAAATCAAAATCAACTGGAGAGTCTATCATTATATATATATATATATATATATATATATATAGTAAGAGGCTGTGCCATGGGCACCATTGCAGCTCCATCATATGCTACAATATTCATGGGAAAATTTGAGTAAACCCATATCTATTCCATCATTGATAGCGACTGCGTATTCTATGCAAGATATATCGATGATATATTCTTTGTATACACGAGCAGTAACGACAAACTTACCCAATTTCTCATGACCCTAAACATAGTGCATCACTCAATTAAGTTTGACTATGAAAAATCCACAAGATCGGTAACATTTTTAGACACCCGCATTTACATAGATGAAAACTGGAAACTACAAACGACACTACACACTAAAATCACCGACACCCACAACTATCTACACTTTAAGTCTTCCCACCCTAAACACCTCAAAGAGAACGTTCCCTATTCACAAGCACTTAGACTCAGAAGGATATGTTTCAACAATGAAGAACTAAATAAACGCATTGAAAATCTGGAGCATCCATTCACAACACGTGGCTATAAACAACACCTAATCAGGGAACAAATAAATAAAGCAACTTCCACACATAGAGATGACACCCTAATGTACAAGATTAAAAATAAACCCAGCCGCATCCCTCTAGTAACCACTTTTAACCCCACTCTGCCTCCACTATCCCAAATAATCAAAAGTCGTTGGGAAATACTACATCTCAAACCAGACCTAAAAATATTATTTGAGGAACCCGGCCTTCTAGCATATCGTAGACCTAAGAACCTAAAAGAAATCATAGGTAGCAACCACATTTAAGGGAAGAAGGTAATCCGTAATAAACCACCAACAAAAGCAACATGATTTTCCCGATCATGTAACAACAAAAGGAGCTTATGCTGCAATCATATTAGTCATACGAATTCATTCACTATCTCAGCCACTAAATCTACTTTCAAAATCTACCACGACTCTAACTGTAGAAGTCATAACATAATTTACCTCCTAGAATGGGCACAATGCCAGAAACAATATGTAATAAAATCTGAATGACCCTTTCACTACAGAATTAATAATTATCGGAATCGAATTAAGTCGACTCCCCATGAAAGATTATTACCTGTAGAACAACATTTCCGCCTAGAAAAACACGATTTTAAAACCCATGCCAAATTCACTATAATTGAGAGAATAGAAAAGTTCAGAGCAGATAACAGTAGAAAGATTTTAGAGTTCTATGAAAATAAGAGGATACAACGTTTAAAAACGCACTATCCAGCCGGGCTTAACCATAAATTAACAATATAGATAGTATTAATATATAACCCTACAAATCAAAACCTACCCACATTTCTCACCCACACAATACAGACTTGCTTACGGAGGTGTTGAGGCCTGACACTTATACACACACCCACACGAACATACACACTTACACACATCATACTCACTCACTTCCTACTGAGCCAAATGATAACACACACTTAACAGAGACACATCCCCTTTTCCGGAATCAATAAAACTGTCAAAATGACCAAGAGAATTCAAAGCAGCATGAATCCATCCAACTCTTATCTTAAATAACAACTTAAAAGAGACTGTTTGACCAACACAAGGACTGACCAAAATTCATGTTAAAAAAGTAAAAAAAATAAAAAAATAAATGAAAACTACAGACAAAAGTTCATTTTCTCCATCAAGACATTCATTTCTGTAGTTCACTGCTACCAGCAAGCAGAAAGTTTTTTTCTCCTGATGATGGCCATGTTGGCCGAAACTAGTCGAGAAATCTAAATAAAATAATAATAAAAACGAAAGAATATTAATATACAACCCAGTGTGTCTGAAGATTTTAATTTTTTTAATATTTTTTATTGTTCATATATATATATATATATATATATATATATATATATATATATGAAGAAATATAATTTTAAGGTGTGCTATATTTATGGGATAAAGTGCTCAATATCAGAGATAGGCTGTTTCATGCTAGACGAAATCGGCAGAACCTGACGATTGCGTTTAGCATGAAACAGCCTGTCGCCTCTGAGTGTTGACTTCAATGTTCACTTATATATATATATAATTTTTTTCTAAAGTTATTGAATATCTCTTGAAAATCAAACAATAAATTTATGTTCTGAAAAGTGTCATGATGAAAAAAATATTTTAAATAATAATATTATGCTCTACTTTGTATTGAGCATTTTTTTAAAAATAAATGCTAAAGAACTGTGGTTTATTAAGCTGTTCTTTTTCTTTATATATATATACATATATATATGTGTGTGTGTGTGCGTGTGTGTGTGTATGTTTGTGTGTGTTTTGTTTGTAGCGGTTGTAATCTTATCCAATAGACGCCCTAAAATAATGTCGTAGGGTGCAGCAGTCCGCTATCGCATCGTCATTTTAAAGAATGAAGATTATGTTTAAGGGGACTCATGACTGTAAATATTTGGGAGATTTCGTGTCTGGCTGAAACGGAACAAGATTAAAGCATGCTTTTAGAATTATCAAGGAATTTTATTACAACAAAATTAATTACTGCCACATGAAAGCATGTTATATTTTACACAAAATAAATACATAAGGGTAGCAAAAAATGGAATTTTATTAACAAATGACACCCTTTCAATCGATATATGCACATGCTAAAACGTATGTGTGTGTTTATTTGTCTAAGGTCTACAATTCCCTTCGTCCATTAGGGTCACGGAAGCGCCACATGTACTGTAGCTATAAGTGGATGTGTCTAGATCGCCTGAAATAACCCATTCTTTTAATTCAGAATTGTTCTTTCCCTAAGGTTAGTCAGTTTTGTGCCATGCGTGATACACACTTTGGTGATCATGTATCTTTCGATACATCACTGACAAAGCAGTTTTTTTTCCCGAAGTAGTTTCTTTCTGCGGTAGACCAGTTGCCATCCAAAGCTTTAGAACCCGCTATTTACCCATAGCTGGTGGGGAGAAGAACAGGAGTAGCACGTAAGTGAATGTAATGGATTCGACTGGAAGTCCTCAATCCGAGCTGCTATCCATTACTCCACCGTGCCTCCTTTTCCTAGGGTAGTTTCTCTATCAAGTTTGATGAACCCACTTCGTCCTTCTATTTACGCGAATTTAAACTTTTTCTCCTAGCAGCCTTACCTGCAATTTAGCCTATAGATGGTTCTTGCCTTTTTTAAGGGTATCATTAGTGTGAAGTGAACGAAACAGCATCAGCCGATTCCATTTTCCGCGCTCGCACACCCTGTCTCTAGGTATGTATATGAATTTTATTTCTCTCTCACACACGCACGCACACACGACCGGTCGAGAATATATTACTGTATTTGTTTTGTCATAGAGATAATGTTTGATAAATCAGTGTCAGTAAAAAGAGTTGATGTTTTAACGAAGGGGAAGAAGAAAATAATGACGAGATGAAAATAAAAAAAGAAGAAAAGATTAAAGAAAAGACAGACTGGTAAAAAGAAAAAGAAAAAAAGAGAATTGTTGAGTATAGTTTTGAAAGAAAGAAAGAGAGAAAGAAAGAGAGAAAGACAGAAAGAATGAAAGAGGGAGAGAAAGACAGAAAGAATGAAAGAGGGAGAGAAAGACAGAAAGAATGAAAGAGGGAGAGAAAGACAGAAAGAAAGAGAGAGAAAGAACGAAAGAAAGAAAGAGAGAGAAAGAACGAAAGAAAGAAAGAGAGAGAAAGAACGAATGAAAGAAAGAGAGAGAAAGAACGAAAGAAAGAAAGAGAGAGAAAGAACGAATGAAAGAAAGAGAGAGAAAGAACGAAAGAATGAAGAGATTCTTTTCTGGGAAACGATCAACCAGAGACGGGCGTTTTTTTTAAAAAGGTCATTGAACTTTGCCTTGCTGTGGAGACGTCTTTGAAAAGACTGCTAACAGCACGCCTCGATAAAAGTTATTTTCCTAGGAAAAGTTTGAGGTATATTTTCTTCAATATCACTTGATGATCTAGGCCGGTCGACGTTAATTTTACTCTTTGTAGATAAACAGGGATGTCTATTTAAACACGTCTACCCACAAAAATAACGTTTATAATAGTAAGATATATATTTATATATATATTTGCCGTTACACCCTTATATACATTTATATATATAACTAATAACTGATACAACAAAGTTAATAAAAATGAACACGCTACCATCCCTTGTCTGAATGATTGGATTTCTCTGTATCCTTGGAAACAGTGAATTATGAATTTTTCTGTACCTTTAAAACTCAGTAAATTTAAAAAATAAGTTACTCCAAAATTCGCTTGAGGATGAAATGGAACTAATGTTTTTAATTTAATTAAAAAATTAAATTCGAAGCTTTCAGCTTCCATTTTTGAGACATTGTTATTACTGTGTAATGAAAAAAACATATTTTAAATCAGTTAATTTATAATATTAATGCTCTGTAAATTTACATTGAGCACTATTTTGTAAAAATAAAGAGTGTAACAGCAAACCTGTCCAAATCGTGTAACAGCATCGGATAATTGTACATCTCACAAAATGTTATGTTTAATATCTAAAAAAAAAATCACTAAATTAATTGAGTTTCTTTTTTACAGGTTTTCAGATAAGACGTTTAGTCATCTTGATATTATTTGTCATAAGAATCATTGAAAAACCTTTTGAGTTATTCAGCTAAAAAGAGAACAGGTTAAAATTGTGCCAGCTCCACCATATCTTCCCAACTAAGTAATGGTGAGAGGAAAAAGATCGTTCAGGTCTTCATTAATTTTACGAACATTCATACTCTAGCTTTTATCTTCAAATCCATTGAAGAACCATCAAGTGAATAAGTTTTAAAAAAGTGGGAACAGTCGAGAGGAAAACTGGATCAGAAGGTCACAACAGCAAGAGGAATCACCATTGCAACTTAGAGTTAAATACATTACATTCATTGTTCAATGTAGAGTCCAAAAGTGTTAAAACCTCGGAGAATTCAAATGAGATATTTTTAACCATTTCTCAGATACAACGGTTCAAAGCTTAATCTAACAATTGGAGATTTTTTTCTGTTAGATAATTTTGGTCTTGCATTCTGTATATATGTGATTAATATAAATATAAAATAAAAGGTGAAAATTTCGTCAGAAATTTCCCTAAATTCGTTTCATATATATATATATATATATATATATATATATATATATATAAATAATGGACGCTCCCGTTGGTTTCGGTAACTACTTTATCAAATAGATTCCCGCGTGGTTGCTTTTCTGAACAGTACTATCTTAACCTCTTCAAGTCTTGTTTTAATCCCTACCTATCTTCTTTATAGTCAGAATCTACACTTCCTACCATCTCCTCTTACATTGATATCACATACCTTATTCAGCAGTCGTTAAAAACTGACCTTGTGTCACAACCTGACTCAGTGGGGGGGGGTCAATTAAATATACATACCTTATTCAGCAGCTATGTACCTGGAGTGATATGTATTGGTCGAATTTTAATATAAAGAACGTAAGAACAAACCCACTAATCGCTTTAATAATTTATTCTTGTTTTAAAATCTACTTTTTTTCAAAATACGTTTTACTTTAAGATGAACCATATTTCTTTAACATAATATTTTTTTGTCGATGAATCATGCATCCCATGTTAAAGTTATTCCTTAACAGTCAGGTTAAATTAAATGATCCATTTTCATGGAACAGTTCTAGATTGACGTATTTCTCTGATATGATTCATTGCTGCTTAACTTCGGCAGAACTTATTTACAGAACTTTGTTTAGTCTCAGTTTGCATACAGTAGTTGTTACTAAATAGTCACCCATCTAAGTATTGCATTGATTTATCGCTGCTTAACCTTTTGACCCCAGCGTTCCTGAACAACTTTAACCCTGAGCTCCTGAGTCAAAACTCGCAAATAATTGGTATGTAATGTTTTACGGTAGATATAAAAATAGTTCCAAGTATTTACCCACCGTTCAACCGGGGTTGGGCATTAAGTCATTTTTCTCTACCACCTGTAAAGCGGTGGTCAGGGCTCAAAGGGTTAACCGAGACGATAATATTTACGAAATTTTTAGTTTAGTCTCGGTTTGCTTACAGTACTTCTTGTTACTAAATAGTGACCCATTTATGTATTGCACAGAATTATCGTTGCTTAACTGCGATAATATTATTTACGAAGCTTTTTCTAGTCTCAATTTGCTTACAGTTCTTGTTACTAGTCACCCATATAAGTATTGCACAGAATTATAGATCCTTAACTGCGATGATATAATTTACGAAGCTCTATTTCGTCTCAGTTTGCTTATAGTACTTGTTGTTCCTCAATGGTCACCTAAGTACTGACCAGAATTATCGCAGATTAGCTTGAGTGATTTGGTGGAAACCAATACTTTCAATGTGACTTGGCTTATAAGCATTGTTTGTCTGTCGAGTAGGCGAAAATTTATTCGTCTGATTTGGAAGTTGGACGGCAACAGATGGCGACCATAAAAAGTTCTATTCTCATGACCTCAAAAACTTGAAGCATTTTGATATTTCAATGACCCAGTCACTGCAAATAAACTTTTAAATTATTTCACTTTCTTTATAACTACGACTCCGATGCCAAGATTCTTATCAAAATATTCCACAGGAGTCAAGAAGCAAAAATTACTCACCAAGTCCATCAGAAAAGGCAATAATTGTTTGAGGACCAAAACAAACGACTAAAACTGTACGAGAAACAACAGGGAAAAATATTAAAAAAATAATCATTAATTCGATCCTATCAAACCAATGCATTAGCATTTTTCTCTACTACTGTAGGGACAAGCTGCTTAGGGGAGAGTTGTTTTCCCCATGTGCTAGTTCAGCTATTTTCCTCTGCGTTAAATGACATGACATGATAGTAACAAGATTTTTTGTCAAGATATACTACCAAGTCAATATAAACAACTTTAGGTGAAATTCGAACCGGGTCCAGCGATTTCATTTCTATAATAGGTCACCTAAAGTCCTGCATAAATTAAACAATAAATACTACAATACTGGCGGATTTCTTACTTGTAAAATCTTTGATTTGCAAATTAAATTTTAGCACATGTTAATATCCTAAAAACGTTAACGTGTGACACTTTGATTTTATCTGTTTGAGAATAAACATTTACATAAATTATCTCCCTTTCGCGTAAAAGAAACAAGCCAGGATTTTGTAAAGAATTTTAGGGAGATTTAGATTAAATTCTTTTCATTTTTTTTTCTTCTTTCACCAAAGAATAAACGAAAGATAAAATTAAATGCATTGGTAAACACTTTTAGTTCCGTGTTGATCTCTCTTTTCTCACTAATACATATATACGGAGACAATGGGTCCGTTGTACCTAAGAAAGAAGTTAAAAGTTTAGATATTCCTTTTGCTAGTTTGTAGGTGGCGCTGTTAATGATGGAAACGAGTATAATAGGTAGATTAGATTTATGTATTCTGTGTAAAATGAAGGATTTATTGAATGATATTCAGTTAGTTTTGCGTAGGTTTTCTTTTCTTTTTTCCGTAATTTTCAAACCGATTTTCTAAATGTTTGTATATCCAAATTTACTGCGTGTTCGTTCATTTTTTTTTTTTTTTTTTATAAATGTTGTTACTTTTTTAGCGGGTATTCTAATTTGTCCATATTTTGGTTGGCGCTTGACATGTGACTATAGTTAATTTTTTGTTCTTTGATAGATTTTCTAACGTTTTTCTGGTTTGGTTTTGTTTGTTTTACGGCATATCGACCTCAATGGATTATTTAATGCCGACAAAATTTTTATTGTTGGTAATATTTTTTTTTCAAAAAGCTATTTCTGGTAATATTTTTTGCTTCATAAATCTATGACTGCTAATAATTTTCCTTTAAATATGTATCGTTGGTAATATTTAAAAAAAAATGTATTGCTGGTAATTTAAAAAAATGTATTGCTGGTAATACAAAGTATTTCTGGTATTAAATACGTATTTTTATACTTTCATAGTGTTTTGACCCCAGTTTGGGTGTTGACTATTTGCCCATAGCTGAGACCCTAACAGGTGTTACCACTCCGGGTCAGGGTGGACCTGGGAACGCCAGCTTATTAAGAGGTGGTTCAACACTCCTCCAAACCTCCTGATCAATGGCCTTGCTGTTGGACGTAGTTTATCGTCTTAACCAGGACGCGGATAGAGTTTATCGTCATACCCGGGACGGATGCTTTTCTGTATCGCCTGAATGATATTTAATTTTCTGTAGTTTTGTTAAGTATGGCGGCTATGATTCTTTGTATGAATCCTTCTTCAAAGTCTGTTTCGTCTTGTTTGTGATTCTACTTTTTTTTTTTTTTACATTAAGGTTCGCTCTGTATAAGGCCCGGGGGCCACTCGCGATAGAGGGTTACGTTAAGAGGCAGTTTCTACGGATAGGAGGAGGAGATAACAGTTAACCCGAAACTTTAACAGGTTAAGATTGTAGTGATCCGGGAAATATCCTCTTGGGACTCGGTTTCACAGGGCAGTAGTTCGCGGGAAGGCTGTTCGAGTGGAACTGAATTCTCACTGATGGAATACGGAGTGGATGTGGATGGTTTGCTACAATATAAGTGACATGGTTGGCCCTAGCCGTGAAGGTTAGACCTGGAAGAACCAAGCAATGTAATAAGTCTCGGCACTTTCCATTGTAGTAGCGATAGAGCAGTGAGAAGCTTGCCACACCCGCCTGTGACAGATAGGTTTGGAGAATGGAAAATAATTCGTCACCTAAAAGGACTCTGAGACACTTTTGGACTCTATCGCGACTGGATTGTGATAACTGGGCAGCTCTCGTCCAAATATGACAACAGTA